GAGAGAGAGAGAGAGAGAGAGAGAGAGAGAGTGAGAGAGAGAGAGAGAGAGAGAGAGAGAGAGAGAAGAGGGGAAGCAACGCACCCTGTCGGGAGCAGATCGACGAAAGATGGCAGCATCTTCAATGTGCTATCCTCCGTTCGAAGTGCCACTCCCATCTCATTCCACAAGCATTCCGCTATCTTCCGCAGACTCGGCTCAGGGAGTGCGCACTGCTCGCGGAACGCCTCCACCATCTCCTCCGCTTTCGTCATCCTAGCAAGGCGCTTCAACCGGTGGCGGATGGCAATCACAGCAATCGCGCAAGAAGCGCACGCGACAAGGGTCACGACAGCTGCCACCTCTCTACCCATTTTGCTAACAACCTCCTCCTCTTCTTGTTCTCTCTCTCTCTCTCTCTCTCTCTCTCTCTCTCTCTCTCTCTCTCTCTCTCTCTCTCTGTGTGTGGGTGGGTGGGTGTGTCGCTCGCTAGCTAGCTGGGTGGTTGGGTGATGTGTGCGTGTGTGTGTGTGTGTGTGAGCGGGCGCGCGCGCGCGCGCGCGCGCGCGGGGGGCGTCCTCCGTCTCCCCCGCGGGCGGACCAGCGGGGAATCCCCACAGGCCCCGCGCGCCTCGGGGGCGCGTTTCCGCCCTGCCCTTGTCGGAGCCCCTGCCTGGTCTCCGAGGGCCCCCTTCCACGCCCCCCCGCGCGCCCTCCAAACACTTTTCCCTACCCACCCTTCGTTCCCCTCCTTCCCCCACTTTTCCTCTCCTCACCCGCTTTCTCCCCTAAACGAACACGCCATCCCCAAAATTCGACTTCAATTCTTTTTTCCTCTGTTCTTTTCCGCCGCAGGATTTTCTCTTCTTTTCCGCCAGCGTCGGGTGCAAGGACCAAGCACCCCTGAGCGCGCGCAGAGACACAGACAGAGAGAGAGAGAGAGAGAGAGAGAGAGAGAGAGATCCACTACGGAAGCAGTGGCAGTGTTGTATGGAAAACGACGAGCAATTAACATGTCCCGACACGCTCGCATGTCCCGACAGCGACAACCGCGTCGCGCCAAGTCAGCACTCCGCGCGAGTCCGCTCGACGCGAACACGGCGCGCACACTCCACCCGCCGCCGCTGCACTGGCTCCCCACCGGCGGCGCCCTCGCGTCCCGACTCTCTATTGCTTCCCGCCGACGACCACCCCTTGCCTCCTTGGAGGCAGAACACAACAGCTCGCAAGTTTCAGTCCCCTGTGCTGAAGTTTCGTGCACTCTTCGCTGCACTTTCCACTTTTGGTCTTTGCAATACCTTTTTTTCTCTTTTGGCCCTTTTGTTTTTCCTGTTATAGGGCCTCGTTGCACTCGTTGCAGTACTCGCCATCCGCCAACATTTTGATTGCATGTGGACATCTTGTCTGTCCAGATGCATTCGAAATCTTGGCGGATGGGCCGAGCAGTGCAACTAGGTAGTAGGGCCATAGCTTGTCCGTACATCCCAGTGGATCAGTTGCAGAGAAAACAAGGTTGCAACAAAAAAGGAAAAAAAAAAAAAAAAGGGTTGCAAAAGAATCAGTTTTTGAGGACGGAGGCTCGAAACCGCAAACCTACCCATCTCAAAAAAAAAAAAAAAAAAAAAAAGTACCTACCCAGCCCTTCGGGGCATCCGAGGAGAAGGGCAAATTAGCAAACGGCCCCTGTGCATGTAAGGATGACACGCATCAATACCT